CTCTATTGTGTGTGTGTGTGTGTGTGTGTGTGTGTGTGTATGTGTGTGTATATAAAAGTTAGTTTTCTTATCTATATGTAAGGTTTCTTCCCGAGTTTCATTAAATTTTAATTACACTTAAATTAGGGGAATTTGGGTTGAAACACAACCTATTGTAACTTTATCCATTTAAAATAAAAAAAACAAAGAAATAAAATTAATATCACCAATAATTAAACAAATAGGCATGATGTGCCTCCTAATATAGTACTTCCAGAGCAGAGCATCACTGCTACCAAGAGTAATCACCTAATTATAAGGAATTATCACACAAATCTCAAACTAAGGGGCATTCTAAAAAGTAACTGGCCAGGCCCAGCCAGTGTGGTTCAGTGGTTGAGCGTCAACCCATGAACCAGGAGGTAACGGTTCAATTCCTGGTCAGGGCACATGCCCTGGTTGCAAGCTCAATGCCCAGTAGGGGGCTGTGCAGGAGGCAGTTGATCAATGATTCTCTCCCATCACTGATGTTTCTCTCTCTCTCTCTCTCTCTCTCTCTCCCTTCCTCTAAAATCAATAAAAACATATTAAAATGAATGAATGAATAAATAAATGGGAAATAATAACTGGCCTGTATTTCTCAAAAATGTCAAGGTCAAAAAAAATGAGAAAGACTGTTTTAGATTATAGGAGATAAAAGAATAACTCATGAAAAACAAACACAATATGTTATCCTAGGTTATAGCCAGAATCAGAAAAAAAATTTATTTATAAACAACGTTAGTTAGACAAATGGCAAAATTTGGGTAAGGTCTGCAGATTAAATAAGATTATTATATTAATACTAATTTCCTGATTTTGATGATTTATGTAAAAGAATGTTCCTATGTCTGCAACTTACTATCAAATGTTTCAGAAAAAAAATTTGGAGACAAAAAAAGGCAAAGAAAATATAGTACAGGGTTAACATTTAGGTGAAGTATATACATGAATTCATTGTGTAACTTTTCTGTAAGTCCAAAATACTTAAAGTTAAATATAAATAAATAAAATAAGAAACTGGCTCTCATGTAGCACAATAAACAGAACAGCTAATATTCAAGAAGTGAATAAGTAGGAAATCCCTTTATTGGTTATAGTGCCTTTTAGCGCTTATTCAGTTTAGCCTTAAAAGTTACCTGATTACAATCCAGCATGCTTCTTGCCACAAATCTGGGGTGATTTCATCATCATCCTCATCATATTGCATATCTGCAAGAAACAAAAATATTGTACTCATCTGGAATAAAAATGCTACTAATTAACATCTTGCTGCAAAGATGTAATCTGCTAAATAAAAAGTAATACTTTTGTCCAGCCAGTGTGACTCAGTGGTTGAGTGTCAACCTATGAACCAGGAGGCTACGGTTGAGTGTCAACCTATGAACCAGGAGGTTGCGGTTTGATTCCCAGTCAGGGCACATGCCCTTATTGCGGGCTCAATCCCCAGTGTGGGGCACATAGGAGGCAATCAATCAATGATTCTCTCTCATCACTGATGTTTCTATCTCTCTCCCTTCCTCTCTGACATCAATAAAAAACTTATTTTTTTAAAAGCAATCCTACCTCACTATTCTAAAATTTCAATTACATTACTTAAATTGTAATGAATAACACACATGGGTAAACTTCTATGTATACATAGATGCGCATCACACAGGTGTTCACCCAATATACAAAGAGGCCTCATTACAAAGGTTCAGCATAAGTGTGTGAATCTGTAAGTTTCCCATCTTCCCATTCTATTCATTAATAGAATCTATGCAGGTAGCCAGAAGCAAGCTCATAGTCCTCAGAGACTGGGGTCAAAGATGAAGGTGTAGAGACAGAAAAGGGTTCCAATAGTTGAGCAATAGCTTAAGGTGGGGTGGTCCATCACAGAAACATTTCATACATGTACAGGTATGACAAACTATATTTTCCAAAGGGGCCACAACCATATCTTCCATTTCACAAGCTTTTTTTACAAGATAGAGGGGTCTATGTTTCCTTCCCTTTATATATATGTTTGTTTGTTTTTATTGATTTCAGAAAGGAAAGGAGAGGAAGGGAAAGATAGTAACATCAATGATGTTAGAGTATCACTGATCGGCTGCCTCATGCACATCCCCTACTGGGTATCGAGCCCACAATCTGGGCATGTGCCCCGATCAGGAATCGAACAATGACCTCCTAGTTCATAGGCCAA